GAAAGAAACTAAGGGAAAGAGAGAATAGAATAGGTTTTGTTTCCCTTGGAAAATTACGGGGAAACCTCTGGCACAAGTGAACGATTCTGAAAGTGGGAAATGGCTTTTAAGCTAGCAATGATTGTTATCAATTTGATAACAGTTGAGAAACATAAAATGTACAGTGTCCCCCCGACATCTAACTAGTGAGAAGACAAACAACGGGTGTGACCAGAGTGGGTGCATGCGCAAACTCAATGATCAATATCCAGTACAATTATAAGAACGCAATAATAAGAGGAAAAAGAATGAAAACTTTTCTTTCTTCCTTTCCTTTATGCTTTTTCTCTGCCTCATTTTGATGTATTCTTAGGGTGTTTCAATTTGGTTTTCCTGTGAGTGTTGGATATTAACACGTGAAACCCCTGCGACATGCAAGAACACCAGCTCCAGAGGTGAGGGTACCAACCAAAGAAGAGGATTTGGCCCCCAAACTGGAGGCTCTAGCATAGCTTGCTGCAGCTCCTGCTCCTGAGGAAGTGAAAAAGGCTCCATTGAGCAAAAGGTCTCCCTCTGACCTCCAATTCCAACTTTTCCATATGGATGACCCTGTGTCCACTCTCTTTGTCACCTGTTCACACCAAAAGAAGGTTCAGCATCGATAAAAGATTGCCACTGTTGACAACATTGCTTACGTAGAGTTTATGTTACTTACCTCTTTAGCAAAAGGGTTCTGAGGAGCAAGGTATCTGTTGCCCTGGCTGTTAATTGTGGGGTTAGCACTGCCGCCAATTGCATACATCACCCAGTGGGTGTAGTCGTTGTTAACCACGTGGAAATACCCATGTCTGCACCTGCATTGTTAACACAAGATACAGATGTGACTCCTCAGAGACTACACCCATGACATGAGCTGGAAAGAGTTTTATATATACAGAGAGTTAGAGGGGTTTCCATTTTCCAATGCAGGAAATTGGTCTATTTCTCATTTTTTTTTGCCCTTAATGGACATGTTATTTCCACTGTTTGGTGGACCACGTATTGGAAGTTGTCAACTTTTAAATGGGCTTTCCAGAGTCCAACAGCAAACATCAAATAAGCGGGCCTAAGACGGGTGAAGTACTCGAGAATACTAGTATCTAATCCCACTTCTCTCAAAAAAGTAAAATATAAAATAAAATAATAGAATCGAATTACAATGCAGCAAAGATTTTTTACTCACTAATTCAACCATAAATTACTAAACATATAAAATTATTAACTTTAATTTTAAAAATTAGTTTAAATTCATATAAAGATGATCTCTAATCACTCCCTTCATGTTATTTTAGTTGACTTTTAACAAATACAAATTGTTCTATTTTAACTAAACATTAACATTAAATGTTTTTCCATGATTAAAATATTGAAACAAAATTGAAGTCTTAAATATTTATTTAGTTACCTTGGCATTCTTTGGATAAGACCCTCCCCAAAATGATTGTAAGCAATGGTGACCTGCATCTGCTTGTCGCGGACGTAAGAGTCACTGTGACCCAGCAACATAACCTAAATATAGAATAAAAAAAAGTGAAGTGAGAAAATGAGAATGAAGAAAATGTTTTTAGGAAGGGGAGTAGTTAGTATATACTACCTCGTTGTGGTGGGTGAAGTAGTTGTTGGAAATGGTAATAGCAGTGGAGCCCATAACGGCATCGATGAGGCCATCAGCGCAGCTGGAGAGAGAGTTATGGTCGATCCAAATGTGGCTGGAGCCGAAGATGGAGATGCCGTCGCCGTCGGCGATGGTCCTCCAGCCGTAGTGGGAGGGGGAGCTGCGGACCATGGCGTTTCCGGTGGGCTTGCAGTCGTGGATGTGGAGGCCGTGGATGATGACGTTCGTAATGAACTGGACGGTGATGCAGGCGCCGTAGGCGATGTGGACGTTGACGCCGCGCCCGTCGATCGTCTTGAAGCTGTTCATAATCAGCTCCTGCTTCAGCGTGATCACCATGTCGCGCTTGAACACGATCCACAGGGGCCTGTCTTGGATCACCGCGTGCCGGAGCGTCCCCGGTTTCGGGTTAACCGCGTCGTCGTCGCTCGGGTCGGTTACCACGTAGTAGCGTCCGTCGCGGCCGCCGATGGCGTTGCGCCCGAACCCGATGCCGCAGTTCGCTAGCCGCTTTCGCCGGAGGTACCACCGCTTGTCGCACCGCCAGCAGTCGTCGATTGGGTTCCCGGTTCCGCATGAGAAGAAGTTTAGATTCCTTCTCGCCGTGTGATTGCGTATGCTCCTGGTTTAGTTAATAAATAAATACACAAACCACTTTAATTGCTGTCTGGTCAATGGATCACAAATTATATATTTCACAGTATGCACAGTTTCCTTCACATCATACGTTATTTAATCGCACTTACACTACAAAATTAGGGAACATGAGTGGAAGAGAATGATAAAGAGAAAAAATAAGAAAAATGTGAGAGAAAAAATGATGCGAAAGTGAAACAAACAAAAACTCGAAGAATAAAAAATATAATAACCCAATTACATCACTCGACCCACCTAAAATTTAGGTGGTATAAAAAACTAAAAGATTAATTAAGGATGCAAAATAATTTTAAAAATAGATTAATTTAGGTAGTATAAAATAATTTTATAAATTACTATGGCATTAATTTTGATAATAAATGACTTAAAGATGATAGGAAAAGTGAAATGCAGTGATAGGTGCATAGTTAATTTTATTGACATGATAGTTAAATGATGATATAAAAAATTCGAATTGAAATAATAATTATTAGCAGTTTAATATGCATTTATCATTGATATGCCTGCATGTGTGGGTCATGTGGGTCTATACGGATAGAATGATACGGTGCATACGGAGAATCGGGGGTTGGAAAAGAGCATAATTTATCTCAGCTAGAAATAAATGCCTAGGTGGGGAAGATCTAGTTTCTGCTTAGTACTTTTGGGTGTCGGTGGTGAAAAAACGTTATTATTAAGTTCCTGAACAGTGGTCATTTAATATGCTCATGGGGGTCTCATTGAATGGCATAATGTGTCAGACAGCAGCAGCAGCGCTTGCTAGATCAGCCAAAATACAACTATGACTAGAAAGTGTTACGGTGGAACTAGATCTGATCTACAATTTGGAGCTATTTCTTGCAGACAGGCTGGAGTAAGGAACCCATTCATGTGCCTTACCCCACCCTGTTGGAAGATGCGGGAATGGAAACTGCTGCATAAGTTCCTAACACTCTGAATTCAACTTTGAATATTTGGTTCTATTGCCAGAGATATAAAGAGGGAAAGCCAATCAATAATACACTAACGAGTTTTTATCTACTCATATGGAACTGTACGTAGGACCAAAGGAATGGATGATGCAATTGGAGAATGGAGAGTGATCATGACTCTAATGATTTTGATTTTCATCATGTTAAAAAAACATATATCCGTGCAATATAATCATTTAATCATCAAGAGCTTCCTCTAGGTCATGTATTAGATATTAACAATAGCATCGCCTACTATATTTATAACTTGATGCATCCTAGCCATAGAATTAAAATAGTCTTGTAAACCGAAGCGGGTTAGAAGAAAGTAACTATCACTTATTGTCTACCAATGAATGTGATTAGGGAAGCAATTAAGGGGACCACGAGTCTACAAATGTGAAGAGGAAGTTAAATGACAGGTATACATATGACACATTAGTCACGAAACTTGGATTTTAGATACAAAAAGGTGTTTGTACTTGGAAAAGGAATTTTCGGATAAGGAAAATAAAAAATGACAAGAAAATTATCATGAGCGAAATGGTCGGATCTCGCGACACTAGCATGTGGTTAAGCTGGCAAATAGAATATAAACGCTTCAATTTTTTAGAGATCTCATCTGCAAAGAACATGGTGGTTGATTCCTTCGAACCGTGTAAGGGAACTTCACAACGTGAACAATTAATTAAAGCATGAACTACATTTATTAATTACGAAAAAAGAGATAATTTGAAAATTAATTGTAAGGGAATAACACCCCTGATAAATACTAAATAGTACGTCAGAGTGTGAAAGGCATCAAAGAATAAGGGATCGTTAATCAGGGAATCAAACAAATACTATTAATTTTCTCGCTTACTCTACACATGATACTATAATAACATTATTATATAAAACTGTACCATTAAACTTTTCTATAGCAAGTGAGAATTTCTAGCCTTTAAACATTTATCTTCTGGTATAGTTTACTTAATACTCTGCTCTACTCTTTATGAGTCAAAATAATACCACTATTCTAGTGCTATAATATAAACTTTCAAAAGGATGGTAGGTCCTTCCCAAACAATTATTAGTTTAGAATTTTTTAGATGTTGATTTCCAGAGGCGATATTTGTTCTAATAAGGAAATTTAATTTCTCTAAATTCCCTTATTATCTGTTTTGATGTTGATATTTATCGGTGGTATCTTACCTTGTACTAAAGAGGCATAGATTTTGGATTAAGCCAACAATGGAAAGTCGTTGGCATGGCCTCTCATCAAAGGAACATCACATATAGCTAGTAGCTTTCAATTAACACAGCTAGATTAACCCCTTTGACAGAGTTTTCATAAAGGCAAAATTCACCCAAAAAGAATAAAAAGGTTATCTAATATTGTTCCAAAAGAAGGATTCACGAGAAGTAATCAAGGGTATTTTCCTCCTTTTAGTCCTGCATCTCAATAATTATTACTACAATAATTATAATACTAAAGCCAAGTGGGTTTGCCATGCTGAATCTATGCTGATTCTCATATACTGTTAAATGATCATGTGATCCCTCTTCTCTAAGTCCAATAAAAAAGAACACAAACAGATAAACTATTCTACTAAGCACATGACCTATCATGAGGTGAGATATACAGCAACCAATAATATCACTATAAAACAAAGCAAAAAATTATTAAATATAAATTAATCCACAGAGATTGAGAAAAAAGAGAAAGAGAGAGAGAGAAATATTACTCATCAACCATAGAAGCAATCTCCTCTGGATTATCAACTGCATGCTCATTCAAAGCACCCCTTGACCTGAAAACTCGTAAAGTAAAAAAATCAACTACACTCACAAAGAGCAGAACAGCCAAAACGACAGCGTTTATAGACCCTGAAGTAAATTAATCAAATAAGCTCGTAAGACAACATAATTAATCAACGGTTGAGATTTTTCAGATCAGATCTGATCGAAGGGTCCAAATTGTTTCCCTTCCGAGCTCAAAACAGAGCTCTTCCTAATCAAGCGTCTCTGATATCTCCAATCCACGTGGACGGCCAGAGTGTAAGAACCACGCCGTCACTCGTAGTAACGTAAACAGTGAAGAAAACACTAACCTTTCTGCCATTGACGAATTCTTCAAGCTCTCCACTCGCAACATCTCGTCTTCAACCACATCCCTGTTCACTCCACCACAAACCGTGTCACAAACTCACATTCTAATCATTTCCAAAAACATATTAAAATAAAAAATAAAAATTCAGAGAATTTAGCAGTGAAGCAGCTAGAAGCTTGAAACTTTTCGTTTTTGCTCTGTTGGCGAAGATACCTCGATTCAGTGAGTTTGTGTTCACTGTCATTGACTGCGTTGACGCGAGCTGAAAGCAGCGCCAGGAGCAGAATGGTGAGAGTGAAGAAATTGGGAAACAGCGTCTTCATTGCTTATGGTGGTGGTGGTTTCTCTGCGTAGGTTTTCGCAGTGTGTGAACACGCGTTCCACGTTGTCGTTGGTTGTGGTGTGGTGTGTTGTGAGAGGGAGATGAAGAAGGAAGTGGAGCCGGAGAGAAAGGAGAGGGAGAAAGGGTTTAAATAGAGATACGAACATGCAGGGAGAAGGAGAGAGGTTGAGTTAACCATGGTTAAGTTAACGAATGAAATCAGTAACCACGTGTAACCAACTTACCACCGCTCTAACTGCCATTAACTGCTTCTCTCTTTCTCCGTTTCCGACGTGGCGCCTCTCTTTAATTTCTTTACTCCTAATCATACTTTAAACTCATTAATTATCAAATTAGCAAATAATTATGCTAATATTATTTTGGTTCCCACATGTATTAGCCTTTTTAAACAATCTTCATGGAGGAAATGTCTAATTCTAATATCAACATCTTTTTTTTTTTTTTTTAATGCGAGTTCAATTTCTAGTTGGTTAAGAATCAATATTTTTTATCAACTAAGAAAATAGCTCACTAAATAGAATAAATTTAGAAATATTTTGCATCTATAATATAATTATATGGGAAGAAAATACTTCACTAAATATATTTTAATCTATAGGAAAATATTCATCTTTAGTCTCTCAAAAATAAATTTTCTTTTACTTTCTCATTAGTAAAAAATGTATGAAATATACAACTATTATTTTTATCAAAAAAATATTTTACCTCTTATTTACGAAAATAAGGACTACATACCATATAACAATTTTTCATAAATGGGAGATAAAAGGAGACAATTTAGTTTTAAGAGAATAAAAGTAAGCATTACTCTACATAGGGATGGCAATGGGCCCCATGGGAGCGGGTAATAATAAATCTGCCCCCGCCCCGCTAGATAAAAATTGTTCTCATACTCACCTCATATCCGCGCGGGTATCCATTGAACGAGTATCCATGAATTTCTTGAATACCCACGGACATCCATGGATATTTATAATTTTTTTAAGAAATTAAAAAATTATATTACAAATAATTTTAAGTCTATATTTAATGTCATTAAAATATTAAAAATAAAAATTTAATGTTAATTTTAAATTTGTATTTACGTTAATTTTGTTGAAATAATAATAAAAATGTAAGATAATCAATGACTTAAAATACATCAATCTCACAAGTAAGTTAAAGTCTCATCACAAAGCTACAATAATTCAATCTCATAATTTCAAACGAAAGTAAACAAATTAAAATACATAAATTTTATTGGTCAAATCAAAGCTAGAAAATTAATCAAATTATATCCAACATATAATTATATAACATGTTTAACACATGTTGGTAACTTCATCAACCTCACTTTTGTCAGAAAATAAGACGAGAGAGTGTAGTGTTAGAGTTATGTGGTACAAGAATAATTAAGATATTTAAGAAATATTATTAAACGGGTACCCGCGGGTATGGATATCATCATACCCGCCCCCCCTCCATTTATAAACGGGTAAAAAATTATGGATCCCCATTATCCGCGGGTACCAATTAACCTATCCATTTATTATCCGTAGCGAATTTTACCCGTAGATACCCGCGGGTGCAGGTATTTTTGTCATCCCTAACTCTACATGTAAGAATTAAAAATATTTCACCCTTAATTATTTGTACTCATTTATTTATTAATGTAAAACTGCGCAAATAAGAATACATAGTACATGCACTCACATTATAAATATTTTTTTTTATAATGATATTGAATGTCTATGAATCTCTAAAATTAATTTATAAATTTATATAGTTGAGAGACGATAACCTTGCGCAAATTTAAAACCTTATACGTAGTATTATTAATAATTCAGTTGACTACCCATGATTTTTTTTTCACTTATTCCTTTTCCAAACTTTATTATCACATTTAAATAAATCAGTAATAAAACACAATGAATTATTTTTTTTTCTTTAAATCCACAGGTTTTTTAAATATGTATTTTAAGACAATTATGCAAAAATATGACGAAAAAAAATTAAACCTTGATTATAAACCAATATAATTATATTTATTTATTTTTTTAAAATTTCACCAATCTTCTCCGTAATTATTACTATTAAAAATGTATGTAATTTTTTTCAAAACAAAAATACTTTGCTAATTTATTTATTTATTTTTCTCTTAATATATGAGGTGCAACTCCTTATTTCAGCAACCCCTTGTCCAAAAGTGAGATCAAACTTCACTCTTAACTAAGAATAACAAATGTCAAATCATGTAAATTAACAATTTTTTTGTTTTTAACAAATCCACAACTCAATGTCCAAAAGTGAGATCAAACTTTTGTCATGATTAAGCAATATAAGCATTGAACTTTTTTTTTTTTAATTTTGAAATGATAGTTAAAATGTAATACAAATCACAAATAAAAAAGTTATAGGCGAAGTAATTAATAAATGATAATAAAAGAATAATTTAATTTTTGAATGATCTTTTTGACTAAATGAGAATGCGATTTTTCCGTACTGTGATTGTGAGCCACGTTGGCATGTGGATTGGTAGAGAAGGAGGGGGCGTCCTCAAAATTTAGGTAACTGTACGAATTGTCTCATTATTAAGCAACGTGCCATGTTCCTTTTTTTATTTCCAAAAAAAACAAAGAAATAAGTCAATTAACAACCTGTCCACTGACACGTGTCCTTTTTTTAAGCATACGGTGATTTCCTATTTTTTAAATCTGAAATGCGTTGTTGGACTTGGATCCCCGTTCTTTCCGGTTGCCGTGCAAAATCTAAAATCATTAAATCACACACAACCTGTTTAAAAACTTAACAGCCTAGTTGGATTAATCTATTTTTTAGACTTCAGCTACATGATTAAGTTACTAATACATTTTAAATGATTTGAATTATGCCATGCATTAAAATATTTATTGCCATCATTGTAGAAGAATAATCTTGTAGAATTGAAAAAGGGATTTCTAGTGAATTGAATATGTAATTAAAGAATATATATAAAATTTGTAAAGAGAGTGGAAATGAGTTCAAATTTTAATGTTTAATAAAATAAATTATCTATAATTAAAAAATATTACATCATAGTATAAATTAATTATCATAAATGATAAAAAAAATTAATTATCATAAATCTAAAATATAATTTATATGACTATAATATTTTATTTATTATGAATTTTTATTATAATACATTTTATATATTCGAAAAATATTAATTTGTTGAAAATTTTAGTTTTTATAAAATGTTATAAATTTTAATTATATAAAATAAAAATTTATCTTCTTCATTAAAAAAGAGAGTTAAAATACTAGTTTATCATCATAGTTTGTATCACTGTTATGATCTTATTACACACGAAACTTGGAGGAAATGTGTATGCTATCAAAAAATTCTAACAAAATTTAGTAATTGAATAACTGTAAAATGAAATTTTCTCAAAATATTTTCCTATTGATTTTCTACATATTAAATAAAAATATTAGTTTTTAAAACAAAAATATTTTATTTTTTTATTTAATCATTTTATAAAGTATTAAAAGGATTGGTGGAATAATATTATAAAAAATTAATTTGAGAATATTTAAAATAATTAGTGGAAAAAGTAAGAATTTTTTTTTATATTTACTAAATTATAAGTTAGGATCCTTATTTGTGTGTTTAGAATCTAGAAATAATGATGGGGGAGGGGTTATGTAATGACCTGATAGGTCATTATACTTACTATAATTTATTAACTATATAGCAAAAGCAAAAGATAATAATTAACTAACCTAGTTATTATGCTATAGTTATATAATCATTCATACAATCAATACATCTATAGGGTAGTAAATACAATAATTGAAAATCATAATTTCTCTTATGGGATTAAATGTATATCTTGTACATATGTATAATCTATATCACCTACATATATTGTATACAAAATGATCCTAATTGTCGATTAAGTGTCTATACAACAAAATACTATATTAGAGTAGCATTATCAAAATTTGGGTCACCAACATGACCCTCCACTAGCTAACCATCATCCTACTAATTTTATCCTTCTTTCATACAATATATGATCATTCCGGTTTCAACCACATGGAAAAACAAAGCATAAGATTGTGAAAAGGAATCAACATGCATTCACAATATCAACTTACAACAATACAATATAAACAACTTATTTAATATTTAATGCAACTCTACATATCAACTTTCAACTCAGGCAACATCATCGTACCAACATCTCAACAAACTTACAGTGCCACAACAATATCTTCATAACTTAAAACAACTAATGCATCATCAAACATCTCAACTATGAAAATTTTCTACAATAGAGGTGAGCAGTTTAAGTGGTTAAACTTACCGAACCATATATAACATCTAATCTATCACAACCAAGTCAAATATAGACAACATTAGGTCTTAAAAAGTGTCATGTATACGACTTAAATTGATTTCTCAAGTGTCCCCATTTATACTAAGAAGTCTAGTATTCTTGTCAAGGTAGAATAACTTGGGTATGAGTTCACCATGACATTAAGTTGCAATAATAAGCCCCCTATAGGATTAGCCTACTAATTACCCTCTAAATACTATGCCCTTCCAATACTCAATTAGGAACTAAAATCTTGACATTTTACCTTATTCGATTGGTCATTTTATACATGTATGTCTTGACCTTGTGCATATATGAATTCTACATAAAACCTAGAGGAAACAATTTAAAATAATTGCTCATTCAAAAACTAGGTTACTTACGGAAGGGTTTTTAACTTGGAATCTTGAAGCACAACAACTTATCCCATACAATGAGATATTTTAATTTCTAAAAAAAAAATTTACTCTCCTTTAATTTTTATGTATCTCAACTAAAACATGTATCTACACCATATGTCTAATAGCTTAACAACTTGATCAATTATAACATCATACAACTTTACTTTATCATCTATCAACTTAAAACTTATTAACAGCATAAACTTCATTATATAGTAGATCAACTTAAAACATAATGAGTTATCTTCATACAACTTAGCCATCATTATTCAATTATTAGACAAACTTCGAATATCACATAAACACACCTAAAGCTCGACACCATCCCCCAGCACTTGGCACCATTGAGACAGAGGGCTTCCT